CTAGTGATGTGCGATACACACTCATACCAATACATTTTTCCTTGGTGTTTTTTACACAAAAACATTGATGGGTGAGTTCATACAATATATTGTTGGGTACATTCATACAATACATTTATGGCCGCCTTCATACAATATGTTGATGGGTGCATTCATACAAAACATTGATGGTGCGTTCATACTTTTCACCTAATATTCAATACTGCCCAGACAGTGACATTTATTGACTAACAATATTATTACACGCTTTTTTTTTTCTTCTTTTTTAATTAACAATTCATCAAATTAACATCGGTGGTAAGGTAAGCAATAATCTGATATGTTTCATATGGTAGTTACATCAAGTTAACTCCAACCATATCTTTGAGGTGCACGACTAGCGCGCCCGCTACGAGTTCTCCTAACCTCCGGTTCCTTTGCAATAACCGGTTCGGGTGTCTCTTGACCGCTTGCCGATTCTGCTTCTGAATCAGAACTGCCAGCAGTTTGATATTCATCTGAAGATGCATTACTCTCGTTCAACACTGGCAGGACTGGTTCATCCACATAGCCACCAATTGGTTTACTGCCACTGTTAACGCTATCTTGTATGTCGCACGCAAGTGGCGGTACAATTTCGATTGGTTTTACATTACGCGGCTCTGACACATTACGTTTAATATTTTCTTCAAACATTATCTCATCCCCACTGACTTCATTATTTTTTGTCTTGGCAATAAACCGTCGGTTGCGTCTAAAATAATTATCAAAATTGTCCCTAACAATATATGATCGACCATTTACATTGCCTGCAATTGTCCCGTAGTTCCACACCTTCCCATTCTTCTTAAATATAACAAGATCACCCATGTTTAAAACTGGCAATGCTTTTGCGTTCCGGTCGTAATAATACTTTTGCTTTTCTTTTTTTTCTTTAATTTTGTTCTGAACAGTTTCCTCACTTAGATTGTTGCGACGCAGCAACGAATCCGCAATCGGCATTCTTGTTTTTATCAAACGACGAAAAAACAACTCTGATGGAACCAATCGCATGCTTGCCACAGGACTTGAGTTATACTCCAAAATACGATACTGATAATTATCCGTATCCCGGTCCTCAACACAACGTTTCAAAATATTTTTCGCTATCGCGACACCTTTTTCGGCTAGTCCATTGCTTTGTGGATATCGAGGGCTCGAGAATTTCATGATTATATTGTGACCATTCGCAAACTCCTCAAACTCTCTAGAATTAAATGGCACATTATCTGCTTTGATTACCGTCGGATATCCAAGTTTGTTGAAATTACCTTTCAATTTTTCAATAAGGTGGCGTGCTGTTTTGTTTTGAACATGTTCTACGATTAGGTAACCCGAATACGAATCAATTAAAGACATAAAATCCTGCCCCGCATATTCAAACAAGTCAACTGCCACCAAATGAAATGGATACTTCGGCGGTTCTTCCTGAACCAGTTCTTCTTTTTGATTGCTACGGGTAAACTTTTCACAAATGGCACAAGATGTTACAATTTCCTTTATCTGACTGCTCATGTTGGGCCAGTAGTACAGCATTCTTGCCCGTGCAAGAGTTTTTTCAATTCCCAAATGTGCCGCATGTAACCACTTACTGAGTTTATCTTGCAGCTCCTTTGGAATTACCAGTCTATGATCACGAAAAAGTAAGCCATTCTCAAAATGAAGTTCATTCTTAAACTTGTGAAACACACGGCTCAGATCGTCAAGTAAATGATAGTTTGGCCAACCGTTTTCCACATATCGACAAATTCTCAACAATTGCTCATCACGTTCAATTGTTGAACGGTACAAATCAAAATTTTGTTTTGATAAACATGCCGATTTAGTGACTGAATGAATAATTCCAGTTAATTCCGTATCTTCCATACATTCTGACAATTGAGCTCGTGAAAGGCAGTCGGCCACAAGCATTTCTTTTCCGGGTTTGTAAACTACTGTCATTTTCGGATATCTCAAAAGTGACATGAACATCCGCTGAAGTCGCATTGTTACATCGTCAATATCCCGTTTGATCAACGTCTCCAATGGCTTGTGATCACTCTCAACCGTAAACTCACGTCCATACAAAAAATAATGAAACCGCTGACAAGCGAAAACGATGGCCAACAACTCCTTCTCGATCTGAGCCCATTTTTGTTCACTTTTACTTAACGTTCGAGATGCATATGCTACTGGGTGTCCGTTTTGCACCATTACACAATCCAGCCCATCTCTTGATGCATCCGTTTGCACAATGACCGGTAACTTAGGATCATAGATAGCCAACACAGGTTCAGATGTTATGATATTAAGCAAATTTTTAAACTCCAATTCATGATCTTCCGTCCATTTAAATTCGACATCATTACGCGTTAGGTTGCGCAACCTCGCTGATTGCTTTGACAAATTAGAAATAAATTTTGCCACATATTTAAGAATGCCCAAAAATCTTAGAACGTTAGCTTTATCTCCGGGTTTTTTCATTTCCAAGATTGCATCCCGATACTTCAAATCCGCTTTAAATTTTCCTTCCGATATAATATTTCCCATAAATTTAATTGCCCGTTTTCTATATTGGATTTTATCCGGATTAAACTTAATATTATTTGCCCGCGCTCGTTCAATTACTTTATTCATGATGCGATCATGTTCTTCTTCCGTTTCCCCGCAAATACCTATGTCATCAAAATAGATTATAACTCCCTCAATGTCTCCAAACATTCTAATCATTTCAAGCTGAAACAATTCCGGAACAAAATTAAGCCCGAATGGCACGCGATTGAATTTAAACCTCCCAAACGGAGTCATAAATGTTGTTAAATTAGAACTTGCTTCGTCTAATTCCATTTGCCAATAACCACTTTTCAAATCAAGAACCGAAAAAATTCTTTTATTTGCCAAACCCGACATTAAGTCATCAACCGTCGGAATCAAAAAATGTTCCCGCCTAATACATTCATTGAGTGGCTTAGGATCTAAACAAATTCGAAGTTCATTTGAGTTAGGCTTTTCAACTATCTGTACATTGTTGACCCAGTCAGTGGGGTAATCCATGTGTGCGATGATTCCATCCTGTACCATTTTATCAAGTTGCGACTTCAATCTATCTAACAATGACATTGGTATCCGTTTCTTATAGTGCAGGACTGGTTTGGAGTTTTCTTTCATATTTATTACGAATTTTCCCGGAAATTTACCCAACCCCTCAAAAACATCACGATTATTTTGCAAAAACTCCTCCCTTGTTTGTGACAAGCACACGACCGACCCTACATCAGTTCGCCTTACCAATCCGAATCTTTCACATGACTCGAGTCCTAGAATCGGTTCGCACACGTCATCGACAACAATAAAGTGAGACGACTGTTCCGTATTTGACTGTTCATCCAAACATTTTAATTTAACTGTTCCGAAAACACTTACTTTATTTCCATTATAATCATAAACCGAATAATTTTCATTTTTGTTTTCTAATCTTATTCCAAAAGTTTTAAATATCCTGGCCGGAATGCAGTCCACATCCGATCCTGTATCAAGCTTAAACCTAACCAATTTATTCGCTATTCGGTATTCCTTGTACCATCGCTTCCTCTCATTTCCAACATAGTTTGAATTTATTCTATAAATACAATCTACCATAATAAACCTATTCGCACTTTCATCAATGTTTTGTACAAAATTACCTGTGCCTTCCCAGTTGAGGGAGTGTTGCTGTTGTTTTACATGATTATAGCTGCTGTCCGGTTTCGTTCCTTTGTTGCCCGTTTGCTTTCCTTTTGATTTGCACCAACGTTGGAAATGACCTTTGCGTCCACATGATCGGCAATTGATATCTCTAGCTTTGCATGTTTCCAAATGCCTTGCTGCGAAATCGCCACCACAGTTATAGCAACGACGTGCTACTGCGTTGACTGTTTCCTTTGGCTCCTGTTCAGCCACACTGTTAACACTTGTTTGACTAGTTGTGTTCAACAACGCCTTATGTGCATTTGCAGCCTCATACATCTGGCACGTTTCAATGACTTTCTGCAATGACTCATCCTTTCCTTCCAATAACTTCAATTGTAACTTCTTGTCATGCACACCAATGACAATTCGTTCCTTCAACATACGATCATTGTTTCGAAGCTATGTTTCAAACTCGACAAAAGGCTGCTTTTCTTTTTGTACAATATTGTGAAATTTGAATGATTCCATTAGTATGTTCTTCTTTGGTATACAATATCCATCAAATGCTTTCAAAACATCATCCAGGGATCGCGGATTATTATTGGAATTTGGTGACACAGCCTCAGCATTTTGATTTCCCAGAATCCCATCAGTTGTCCCATCGTTCGGGAACAATGTGTTGTATATCTCCATAGCTTGGGAGCCGATTAACCACAAAAACGTTGCTATTTTTTCTGGTTCCGTTTTAACATTTTTCCCCGTTGCCATCATGTACATTAAAAATGTACGCTTCCACATTGGCCACCCCTTCGCCAAATCTGCGCAGTCCAATTCCGTTGGCAGTCGCTCGTTCGACATGAGTTTGAGTTAAATGTACGAATTTTCAAACAATAATCCAAAATATTTACGACAAATATTTTTATGATGCTAAACTGGTGATTATATCGACTCTCCACCGCGTGATGTCCTCAAAATCCGACGATTTACAAAATGGCGTTCAATTTCCCAACAGGAAGCCTTTGTTCGATGCCGCATATAATTCGATGTTCGTTAATCCACAAAAATTGGCTATCGTCTTGGTAATCCACTTTCCAAAATATTTTTCAGTCGTTGTTTAATAATTTTGCCCCTGACACCATGTAATGTTTGTGTATTTAGGGGTTAATTAAAAGACTTTAATTAC